GGTCAAAACCAAAGACTCAGAGTGGAAGACATGGGGTTTCCAAAGCCAAGTGCTATCCATTTCACTGTGCCGGAAGGCCAGCCTTGTTTGTATTGATGACAAACAGTGAAAAAATGCCAAGCAGAAGCGTCCGTTGCCTCCCTCCCCTTCCCTGGGGCATTCCAGCAGCCATCCATGTGTAGGTCGGGGCTCAGGGAAAGGGCACACACTCTGATCTGGAGGCAGCCCAGGGAGTTTTAAGATGCTGTCGCCACAGTTGCTGTTGCTCTGCAAACCTATCCAGGAAGTGCATCGTCTCTCCTTTGATTGGAAGTTCCAGATTAATGGGCCTGAAAATCGAATTAGCTCAGTGACTGTTCAAAGATCTGTGGTGATATAAAAACAAGCCAGCACAGAAACCACCCGTGGTTAGTTGCCCAGAAGCTTTTCGGCTTAGAGTTTTCAGGGTTAAAGTGAATCTGAAATGGTAATACAACATGGGCAGATCAGGGTGGCGGTTATAGCTAAAATGTTACAAAATATTCTCAAGTGTCAAATGTCTTGGAGTGAGCAACCAATACCTAGACATTCTTTCTTCCTAGCTAGCAGTCCTTTGCTTTTCTCTGCTTAGATACTCCTCAAGTTTTCAAAACAGCAAGAGTGGTCAAAGAAAATACATTAATTGAAAGTGGGGTAAAGGGAGTCTTTGGGGGGAGTTAACGTATCCTTTTAAATTGCCAGAGGTCTTAGAAATGTTTTCCCCCTCTAATCAAAAACTGAGACGTCTCATTAAGTTGGCTCCCTGAACGTGCTTTGGAATGGGTCCCTCCAGGAGTGGATTCCCCTGCAGTAAATCTAGCATGCCCCTCTCTGCTACACTAGCTTTCTGGGGCCCTAGAAATGAGTTCTTTTTCTTTTCTCCCTTCCTTCCTTCCTTCCTCCCTCCCTCCCTCTCTCTTTCTTTAGATTTATTATTTATTTATTTCAGAGAGAGAGCAAGAGAGAGAGAAAAAGCATGAGTGGAAGGGCAGAGGGAGAGAATCTTGATCAGGGCTAAGCATGGAGCCTGATGCGGGGCTCGAACGCATGACCATGACCATAAGATCACGACCTGAGCGAAAACCAAGAGTTGGACGCTTAACCCACTGCGTCACCCGGGTGGCCCTAGCAATGAGTTCTAATGGTCATATGTTTTGTAAAATTTGAAAAACATAAGGTGTTTTAACAGCAATCAGTTAAGACTACTTGTTCCCCCTTCCAGAATTCTCTCCTGCTGTGTGGGGTCAGAGAATGCATTTTTGGGGGGGATCTGATGAGGGGAATTTATGAGCTACTTTACATAGTTTGCTGTCATCTGAGAATATACCTATGTGATTGCTCATCACCCTGGCGTACGCATAAGTTAACCAAACCATGCCCACTGTATGATGTGTCTGGCATCTTGACTTAAAAGCACAGTAGTATGCAATAAACCAGCTCCAGAAACATGTAGGAAAAGGGATAAAACAAACCTTGGAATATATGGAGCCTGAAACTACTCTGGAAAATTCTCCCAACTGTCCTTCAGATGCGGAAAATTGTAAATGGGGGTTCACACTGACACCTAACTAAAGCTGTTCTTTCTAGTCAATAACACTCCACCTTTTTTTTTTTTGATGAGAATTATATGAAATAGAATTTGTAGAAATTCCTGTGTTTATAGAGCATAAACCGAAAGCAGTAGGACTAACTGCAGAGTTGCACATTTTGCACATTCCAGCACATCAGATGGAATGTTTTACCTTAGTATAGTTTGGCAGTTCCAGATAAAATTGTCTTCCATAAAGTAAAACAATCGACTATGCTCAAAGAAAGACTGACTTATTCTGCTAGTCTCTGTATTTAGGTAATGTTTCAAAATTGTGCATGAAGAAGTGATCAAAAAGAATGCAGCAAAAAAAAAAAAAGTAGGACAAGGTAGTGTAGAGAGGTAGTTCTGGAAGGAGATAATAAATATATTATTTTTCAGGGTTTTGTAATGTTTTAGTTTTTTTAAGATTTTATTTATTTATTAAGAGCATGAGAGGGGGAAGGGGCAGAGGGAGAGGGAGAGAGAGACTTTCCAGCAGACTCTGAGCTGAGCACAGAGCCTGATGCAGGGCTTGATCTCACAACCCTGAGATCATGACCTGAGCCAAAATCAAGAGCTGGACACTTCACTGACTGAGCCACCCAGGTGCCCCTGGAATGTTTTTGTTTTTAGTCAGCTTGAAAAATTTTATAATTTGCTGTGACTTCTTTTATTCTAACTAAATAGCCCTGTTACACTTAATCTTATATTCTCAATTTTGAATTCTTTTCTTAAAGAAGGAGCTTCCAAATTGTGTCACGTGTCAGGCTGCACAGAGCGTGGATCTGCCCCCCGTCTTTCTGTGGCAGCCATTTTCTCATGGTATGGACAAACTCTAAAGTGTGAGTATAGAAGGGAATCGTGGCCCCTGAGCTAATACTTTTCTGCTTGGTCAAGAATCAGAAGCTAGGTTGTCTTCTGAACTCTGCCGTTTATTGGCCGGATGGTCAGACCCATATCTCTGAGGGAAGGGAAAGGGGAGAGAAATGTTATTTAATGAGCATCCAGTAGTAAAATGCCAGGATCCTACCAGTACTTTTTCTTTATACAGTATCTCACTTCATCTTCACAACTGGTTTACGAGTGTGGAGGAAGCTGTGATGAATGGAAAGATGGAGAACTTCTGTGAGTGAGTGCTCTGGAATTACAACGTATATCTGTCTGGCTTTATGGACGGTGGATTTTTGTCCTGACTTATAGATTTAAGACTCTAAGCTTCCTCAGCTATAAAATGAGGGTAATTAGGTCTTATTTACCTGCTTCCCGGGGTTGTGTCAGCCATCAGTTGAGGGAGCCTGTGAGAAAGCACTTTAGATATTATTCTATAAATATGAAATAACATTAATATCTGAGGATTGGAATGCAGCCCGTACGATTTGAGGTATTCAGTTATTTAACAACTCTGAGACACTGTGGCAAGGGGGTGGGGGGCTTCTTAAATATGTTTCCCATGTGTTCTGTGCCAACTACCTGGGGTTAGCTGTTTTCTGCTTGGACCCCAACAGGGATGTGTCTCTTCCTACTAAATATGTTCTTGGTTCCACAACCAGGTAGAGAACAGAAGTGTAGAAGGATAATCACAATAGTAAAAAGAGATACAGAGCTTAGAGCTGAGTTTGGAGAAAAAAAAATCGCACTAACCAACAAAAGCAATTATTATAGATTTGGTCATTCCCATGAACCTTGTACCTTTGTGGTGTCTCAGAATAATATGGTCAAAGTATTACAGGCTCAAATAACAAGGTTACCACCAGAATTTTCAAGAAGATAAATCCAAATCGGACCAAAACAGAATTTCTCTTGGTGGGTTGGGTAAGGAAGAGTAATTCCTGATAATTCATGACTAAGAAGGAAGTTTGGTTAGCCTCAAGGATGACGCTCTTGAGTTATTTAAAGAAAGTTGTGTACATGTTCAGCATAAGTGTATCTGAATATAGATGGTTTCTTCTGTTTAGTAGTCCTCAAAGAAACCACTGTTATTCTTCAAGGGATATGAATATAAAAATCATCCTACATATTTCCATAGACAGGTGCTTGAACTAGGTAGATCATACCTGGTTATTGTAGTCAAGATTCTGGCTTCTGTATAAGGTAGAACAGGGTCAGAAAAAGTACACGACAAAGCATGTTACTGCCTGGGCTGCACAACAGGGAAGAGGGAGAGACAGGTTCGATCCCTTGATGCCTTTCCAGATGGAAACTCTAAAAATGTATTTTGAAACTTTTATGTAGTGGAGGTGGTAAAAAAAATGTTTTCTAGGAAGTTATATGGACAGAGACATGTATTCATTCATTAATACCAACCAAAATATTTGTCACACTCTTTGCTATTTTATCTGCTTTGTAATCCTTTGATCTCTCTCACAATTTTCTAACTTATAGATGTTATAGAAGTGTAGAGTTCCAGGACAGTTTCTTAGAAGATGTCATACAGGTTTCCCGTTTCATTAGCTAAATTATTCATTCCCCAGAAGCAGACCTATGTCTGACTTTATTTGGTTTTAGAAACTCAGCTCACTTTGCTGACATCGGACTTACTGAAATTATATAAGGGTAGGGATAAATTACTCAAAAGATAAAGTAATGTGGTAAAGGGTGTTTTTAGTTTTGACTTGATTCTCTCTACTTTAATGGGAGTGAGACCAATTACACTTTGTGAATTGATCCCAGTGATGCCCTAGAATCCATTAGAAATCAGCATCCCAGGCAACCTCTTGGATAGTCTGGCCATTAATTGGACTCAGATAAAAGTTACTTATTTTATTTTTTTCTTTTCTTGTCTAGATATCCTCTTCTAAATTATGTTTTGCTTGGCTCTTATTTTTCATCTCTGTTTACATTTTGCTGGTTTATTGCATGGGTTCTGCCGTAAGTCATATTAAATCTTTTGTGGAAAGTGATAAGGCTAAAGCAAATAATACTGGCTGTTTCCATCGATCTTGTTTGTCTCCTTTGTTTTTATCTTTTCCATCTGCCTCACAGTTATCAGAATTCTGACGCTGTGGTGGCCTGGTGCCTCCCTGTTGCCCTAACATTCACTTTCAACTCTAATCTAACTGCCGGCCATGTTTTCATAGAGAAACAGGTGCTTGGACTAGAGGATATGCATGAAATCCTCGATCCTGACATGGGCTGGAAGTTTAGGATGATTCTCAGTCTTTTCCTGAAGTTGATCTGGGCTGAGAAGCTGAACTTTTTTTCCTGAAGAGAGATTGGGCCTCGAGATCTGTGCATCCCCAAGAAGAAAAGACTTGCTGGCCTGTGCATGTCATTCCAGGTGGATCTGCTGATTGTAAAGGCTTCAGAGGGGCACAGGGATCCTCATTCTGCCTAAGAGAGCCCCAGTCCAGCTTCTGCCTGATGTTTGCAGAGGGGACTGAAGAGTTTCCATTTCTCACATCTCTGTCGGTGAACAGCAGTATTTCCTGCCTCTTGTGGTTTTCCATCACTCCCAGGTACCATATTAGCTTGGTATATAAATAGACTCATGCGTATGCAGAGGAAATAATCACAATCTAAGGGGACTCAGCAGTGTCTTTGAGTTAAAACAAGCCGGAGGAGGGAGAGAAGAAGTGAGAGGGGAGAGAGTGGAGGGAGAGACAGCAGGGGGAGAGAGAATGGAGGGGAGAGAGAGGGAGAGAGTGGAGGGAGAGAGAAGGAGAGAGAGAGAGGAAAGGAAAGGAGAGGAAAGGGAAGGGAAGAGAAGGGAAAGGAAGGGAAAAGAAACTAAAGAGGAAGGAAGAGGGAAGAGAAAATTAAGGAGAGAGGAGAATCAGGAACAGGAAAGCTTCTAGCATGATGATAAAACTGTTAGAGGAGACAGATGGCTATAAGAATGACCACAACAAAATGCTTTCTAAAAGACTCAAGATTCTATTATAGCTTTATAGAGACTTCCTGAAAGTTAAAAATCTGATAAATTTAAAATTTAGAAACGGAGTGGATGAATTAAGGAGAGATTAGTCACCAGTGAGATCAGCCTGGAGGGTCAAGTGACACATTCAAAACAGCAAAAACACAAAGAGAATCAAATCATGAGGAAAGAGCTAAGAGATTTGGGACACAGCATCAGGAATTGTAAAATGTGGAGAATATGGATCCTACAAAGAAGAAAAAGGAACCGGTAGAAGGAAACATAATAATTAAAATAGCAATTGGGAAAAATCACACTGGCTAGGAAAAAAAGACTTGTTTATTCAGATGGAAAGTGCCCAGGCAGGATTGATTTCTGTAGCTGAGGGCTGAAGGTGAGAGGGAGAGAGAAAAAACAGGCTGGTGGCACTGGCTTTTCATTCTGCTCCCTATCACACCCCTTTGGGAAGTACGTAGTGCTCTTTTCATATCATGAAGGAAACTTGGTATTTCCTGATAACGCCATGATGGTCACTCCTTAAACTTCTCATGTGACATATAAGCCTTTGTTACGTTGGCTTCCACATCAACGATCATTACCTCATGGATGAAGAAGTTTTGGATAAGCATGGTTGCCATATAAGAGAATGGGTCCTGGCATGTGAGTTATTTTAAGCTGCTTTGTACCTCTGTAGGCTTGGATATAAAAAATTGGCTTGAAAACTGGGTTTGGTCTTGGGAAATGAAGAGAGTGGATTTCTCTACAATTAGGATGAACTTGGAAAATTAGAAATATTCTGGAAAGGAGTAAGATTGCATGTGGCTGGGATTTGGTGTAGTGTGAAGTATCCGATGAAAACTTCCACAAGGAAATGACCCAGAGATGATAATAAAGAAAGGCATCTAATGTCTAACGCTCTTGAAATTGTGTTTCTGAGTCATAAACTCTTCATAGCATAAACTCTTCCCTCATAGTCAGTTAAATATACTATTATGAGGAATACCACTCTATGCATTTGAAGCAGAAAGAGGTTTCCTACACAAATATAGGTGGCTACATAATGATTATTGAGATTAAAGGAAGAAATCTAGGTTGTGTTTCCAGAAATGTCTTTAGGAAGACTGGATCACTGTCCTACTAGGTGACCATTGTCTCTAAAGTCTCCATTGCAGCCTTGCTGGAAGCAAGAAGCTTCCCTTCCCCATAAACCCACCTCTCAACCCATGGAGCTGGACAGCGAGCCCTGGAACGCTGATGTTGGAGGATCTTATATTTCTGTGACATTTCTTGAAAGCAGCCACAACCAAGAGTCACAGGAATATGGTGTTCACTGTATTTCTGCCTTCAGAATTTTATGAAAAGACATCTGTTTAGCAGAACCTAGTTTACTAACTATAGTACCCAAAAGGTGTTTGGTGCAAAGGTTAAGAGACACAATCCAGAAAATGAAGCCAAAGCTGATTTCACAGGGTCAATGAAGTAGAGACAGAGAGGTAATTGGTGTGGGCCTCCACACAGTAGATGATGTGGAGGCAGGAAGGTAATTCATAAACAGGAAATTGGGTTGGGGGGAAGCAGGATCTGGGGAATGGAATAATCATGTTGTCTTAATCTAGGGTACAGTTGTCTTGGGTAATTTTGATTATCTTAGGGTGCCTTGGGCTGAGTTAGGGTCATGGAATGAGTATACCACCTCCTGTAGCCCAACTCATGGCAAACATTAAGAAACCACAATGAGGGGCACCTGGGTGGTGCAGTCAGTTAAGTGTCCGACTCTTGGTTTTGGCTAACGGTGGTGAGATCGAGCTCCACTTTGGGCTCCCCACTCAGTGCAGAGTCTGCTTGAGAATCCCTCTCCCTCTCCTTCTGCTCCTCCCACTCATGCTCTCCCTCTTTCAAATAAATAAATGAATCTAAAAGAAGAAGAAGAAGAAGAAGAATCTACAATGACCTGCTCTTCCATGGGCTTTAGAAACCAATTAAATTATTTAGAAATTCAATTTAATGGAGTTGGCACTAAGAGAGAAATGAAACCTCTTTGAATACTTCCGAAACAAATTTAAAGAGTCTGATTTGCTGCAGTGTCACAGAGCTGTTATGTTTAAAACTTGATGACCAAAGTCGTGTGGGCAGCACATAGAGCTATGGGCTGTAAATATTCTTTCATATTTAGAGAATTTATTAGAAGGCAGGGACTATATATGGCTAGAGTTAGAAAACAACAAACAAACCAAAAAGGATGCTAAGGAGGGAGGCTGGGTGTACACTGCCTGTGCCTCAGAGTGGCTGGTAGTTGAGTTCGTCAGGCAGAATGGTCTATAAGAATTAACAGAACCCTTAGCTCCATTGAAGTAACTTATCTTAGAACTTCTGCCTATTAGATTGTTCCACACTGTTGATGGTCTTAAGAAACTCATCTTCATCTTATGAAAAAAGGCAAAGAGAAGGCCAATGTTAATATATCGATGATATGCTACAAAGTTTCCTATGCAGCATATGTATGTTTAGATGTATGCTCTGAGTTGAATGGTGTGTCCCCGAAAATCGTATCTGCTATCCTCTAGTACCTGAGAACATGAGCTGATTTGGAAATGGGGTCACTGCCAATGTATTTACTTAAGTCAAGATGAGGTCTTTAGACTAGGGCCTAATCTGGTATGACCGTTGTCCTTATAAAAGGGCAACTATATACACGGATATACAGGGAGGACATCATACGATGAGGAAGGCAGAATTTGAGATAATACTTACACAAGTCGTAAATGCCAAAGATTACTAACAAGCCATCAGAAACTAGAGGGGAGGCATAGAAGAGATTTTTTTTTTCACAGCCCCCAGAAAGAAGCAATTATGCTGACAGCTTGATCTTGGACTTCCAGCCTCCAGAGCTGTGAGACAATAAATTTCTGTTGTTTATGCCACTCAATTTATGATACTTCCTTATGGCAGTCTTAGCAAATGAACATAAAAGTCTAAAAATTCTAAAAAACATATAAAATAATTAATTCATAAAGTAAAAATTAAGAAAAAGGGACATAATGACATTATATATACTGTGCCTACCCTTTGGGGCTAATTATGTATCAACTTTCCAAGATGGTGGGACTTGGGCCACAAATTTCAATATGGCTGAACCAGCTGTAAGGAAGTTCTATACTGCTATAAATCAGTGAAGAATTTTAAAAAGATATCTAACCTCTTAGGAATGATACAAAAATTTCTGATTAGAAATGGAACATTTGAAGGCAATCTTTACTCAAAGAACATGAAAGCATTAAGAAAGATGAGTCAGAAGGAGAAGCTTAGTGTCATTTCAAAAACTGTATGTAGACATATTACTTCATTTCTGACCTAAAATTTCCTTTGTGGTTTCACAATAAAAAAGATAATCAACTTTAGAGGACTGTCTAGAATGAAAATTACCTGGGCTCTGCTTTAATTATGTATCAAGAACAGGCCGGTAACTAGAACTGGTGCATACAGCCCAGAGATGTCTGCTCCAAAGAAGATATAAAGAGGTCGTACCACTAATTCCTCCTCCAGGAGAAATCATGTTCAGTCATTTCTCCTTCCATTCTTTTTCTTTTCTTTCTTTTTTTTTTTTAAATTTTAATTTATTTATTTGACAGAGATCACAGGCAAGCAGAGAGGCAGGCAGAGAGAGAGGGGAAGCAGGCTCCCTGCTGAGCAGAGAGCCCTATGCTGGGCTCAATCCCAGGACCCTGGGATCATGACCTGAGCGGAAGGCAGAGGCTTTAACCTACTGAACTACCCAGGCACCCATCTTCTTCCATTCTTAACCAAATATTATATACAACACCTATTGTATTTTGTAGCAAATCTAGGGTGTTTGATTCTCCATATAGGGGAAAGCACTTTTATTAATTATAAACCTCTAGCAGTTATACTGAAAGGTTTTTTTTTGTTTGTTTGTTTAATTTTTTTCTTCTTCTAGAACCCCCACATTTCTGAGTATTTTTTGAGAATGTTTTTTCCTACTAGAGTACATACTTTGTAAGAAAACAGGAAATTTCAGAAACTGGAAAATATTTAACTTTCTATGTCACATGGGAAAATGATGATTATATTTTCCCCCCTCTTGGGAGAGTTTACATTCTGTCAAAATTACCATCTTGATGCAGTCAGTAAATATTTAAATCTAAATGGGAAATTCTATACTACAGGACAAGTAGGGATTATTTTGCTTTCAGTCCAAGAGAGAAACCAAGAACTTCTTGGAATTAATTTGAACTAGGACTCAAAAAAATCTTCTGAAAGTTATTTAAGTATTTGTATGAAATTTGCTAGTAGTAGCTATCATTTGTGGAAAGTTTACCACGCGCTAAGCACGATATTTAGGCCTTATGCACTTACACATACAGGATATTTATGAGGACCAAAATCCTATGTGTACAAAACTAGGGAAAACTTGTAAGTTGCTGAGTGGTTGGAGTCAAACCCAGGACTAGAGTCCCCTGTCCACTAAAAAAGAAAACATATGCTGTGTTGACATATTTGAGTCTCCTAACTCAAAAATATTAAGAAGCCTCCAAAGGTTTTTGTCTATGAAGAATTAATTAATGGATGCCTGGGTGGCTCAGT